ATGTTATTCAGATCTTGTTGGTTTTCAATTGTGTCAAGTCCAGTATTAACAGCAAGTTAGACATGTTTCTTTAGTCAACAATAAATAACTGGTTTATTAACAAAAAATAAATTTACTGAAACAGAGGTCAAAGATTAATGATGGTTTGGACCACACACACACACGTATAAAGTATATATATAATATATATCTTTACCCTTCTAAGAATTTTAAACACTAACTAAGCATTTCAGGAGAAACCAAAAAAAAATCTCTGCAGAGTATTATCTTTTAAAGTACTTTTGCCAAACAACATAGTAGTTAAATTCACGGGAATAAAAAGCCCTGGATTGTCCCAAATGATGTTCTATGTCTAAAGTTTTTGCACATATGAGCTTTTGGCATTGGGATGTATTCTTGGAATGGTGGTTGCTGGCTGAATTCCCTTTGTTGATGGGAACTGACTTGTGAACTAATTTCCAAGAAAATCCTTTTCAGGAACTCTCCCCAAGTAGTAAAGGTGACTTTCAATGAGGTTTCAATTCACACATTTTGCTGAGAGGACTTGGAATATATAAAGGACAGCACAGAAGCAGTCTATTTAAACCAACTGGTCTAGATAGAGGAGTTGTTGCTTCTCAGGCAGGTATCAAATTCAGGAATGCATTTTTCTTATTTCATCTACAAACTGAGCCAAGTGACATCTCTCTGAAGGTTCCCTGACTGTATGACTCCAGCTAAGCACACTGTTCCTTGCAGGATCTTTTGTATCTAGTGCCTTTTCCCTTGGCAAAGTGTCATTTGTTTGAAAGTTCAAAATATATTTATATGGGTCCACATGATCCTTCCTAAAAAAGTACAAATTGGATGACATAGATTTAAAGTTAAATATTCCAATACTCCTTTGAAATAAAATTGAAAATGCAGTATGCAGCCACAAATGAAATACAAATTAACATCATGTAGCTCCTTGGTAATTGTGCTGATCATAGCTGTTATGTGCCACCACGGTAATGAGATCAGGATCAATTGAGAAAATATATATTTAAAACAATTATGCTAAATTAATGAACAATTTAAACACTTTATTTTGCATCAATTTTGATGAACTAGTTCATTAGCAGAAGGAAGGTTTAACCCAAATTAAACATAAAGGACTGACTCTTACTTTTAGTTGGAAGGTTCGGGTTTTCAGAGAGGGTTTCTCTTCGTGAAGTCTAGAGCACATTCTTGCTGCATCTTACTAAACCCATCTCATTAACGATCTGTGCCCCTCTCCCCTGATTCTAGCACCATTCTACCATCTGGCATTCCAGGAAGTACTTGTAACTCATCAGATATTCCCTGAAAATCCATAATTCCTAGTCTCTCTGCCATCTTTAAAAGGCCATCATGTGTGCAGTTGGGCATGAACCATTCCAAAGAGGCTCTGCTCAGTGATGGACTTTTGTTCTGAAGATGCCAAAGAGAAGGAGAAGATTATGCTGCAATTCCGTGACAGGAATCTGGATTCCCTGGTCGATGGGGTGGGCGAGGCAAGGGCCGTCCTATTCCAGGGGGACCAGCAGAGGAGACCAAGCCACTAGATCCTGGTCTGAGTTGCCAGCCAGGTCAGTGCTGGCTATATGGTCCAGACGAAAGGCCAGCAGTAAAGGGAGAACATCAGCGACCTTGTCCCTTTTGTCAGGGTGTCACACTTGTCTGTCTGCTACCTCACACTCACTCAATCTCTGCTACTATATCCACCCATCCCAAACCTCTTCATGTGTCACTCTTAAAACAGCATGCAATATCTTCCCTCACTCATTCTTATTAACCTGCAGATCCTCACACCACTAACCCTGTATGACCTCTGAGCTGCCTACTCACACGAGACACTTCACCACCTTACAAATATATTTGCCACCTTCACAATTGTCATAACCCTTTCCCGCCACCCCGATCCCAAAAATAGGTTCCCAAGTTTCTTTTCCACAGTAGAGGCCTCTTTCATACATTATTCCCTCTCCCCGTTCCTTATTTTCCTTAGTTTTGCTGGACAGACCCAATGGACTGACCACGGCCCACCACAACGCCCAATTTAATTGTACAGCTCCAGATGAGAAGTGCCCATACCGCTGACTAATACCTGAACATCTCCCCGACTATGTTAGTCCTCTTCCTGGATTGGCCGCTATGGAGCCACTCCCCACATCACAGAAGCTCAAACCTCCTGACTGAGAACTCCCAGTGGACACCTGACCACAACCAACTCCCTGGACTGGTATCAGAGGCTGCATCTGACTTACTATGCAGGATCCCCTGACAGATGAGTGCTTCCACGCATTGCAGGGAGGATAATTTCCTAAGATTTTGAAACATGGCTGCTTGCTTGATGCACATGCAGTGTGTTTGCTTTGAAAGCTGCTGACATATGGTGCAGATTTGAGATTGACATGAAGCAATATAGACACACCCTTGACTGAGGTCTGCCAACTAGCGAGGTGAAATGCCTGGTTGTGTGACTGCACCAAAAGGCACAGCAAGGCAAGGCAGGGATGCTGTGAGTATGCAGGTAAGTGCTAAGTGAGTGAGTGCTGAGGGAGAAAGTGGGCAGCACCCTATTCCAATCTGGGTACACTTCCCTGTGCACAGTATCCTAGCAGCAAGCTTTCAATGCTAGTTGCTGGTGGACCCTGAAATTCTTAAGCATCCTGCAAATGGATCAGAAAGTCAGGATTCAGAGGGATTGGCAATTATTATATGTCGATGTCTGTGGATGAGGGGTGCATGCAGCTTGTGCCCGTAGAATGTGTCCTGAGATGCTACAGTGTGGTGCCAACCTGGAAGCTCTTCACAGACAGCAGTAGGCTGAAGTCACTGGGTACCCGCTCTGACTTCTAGGTCAAGAATTCTCACTGTTTAGTTTGCTTGCAGATCTCATAGAATCCCTATAATGTGGAAACAGGCCTATCGGCCCAACAAGTCCACACCGACCCTTCAAACAGCATCGCACGCTGATCCATCCCCCTACCCTTTCCCTGTAATCCTGCAATTCCCATAGCTAATCCACCTAATTTATACACCCTGGACACTATGGGCAATTTAGCATGGCCAATCCACCTACCCTGAACATCTTTGGACTGTGGGAGGAAACTGGAACACCCACACAGACACGGGGAGAATGTGCAAACTTCACACAGACAATTGCCTGAGGGTGGAATCGAACCCAATTCCCTGGCATTGTGAGGCAGCAGTGCTAATCACTAAGCCACCATGCCGCCCAACAGTTGGTACTTTAGAAAGCTGCTAATAGATGAGGCAAGATTTAATTAGGCGGGTAACAAACAATAATCACTGTAATCGGTAGCAAGCCACTTCCTAGTGAGTTCAACTCCTAGAACTCAGTTGATAGGTACAGCTAGTTGCTCCTAAAGTCAAGATAGGTCTCGGTACATGACCCTGCCACATTTCTCCTCATAGCCCACATTGTCAGGCTCCTGTAAGATTTTGTCTATAATATAAAAGTTGCTTGCTTCTGTTATACCAGAATGAATTCCGAGAGCTCCTCTGCTCATTTTCTTCAGTTTTAATTACAAGGCCTATTTTTAATGAATGGCACATAATATTGAGATCATCTATCTTGGTAGATTGTTATAGTGATAGAACTGGATTAGATTAACAGGTACATCTAAGTCTCACATCTCCAAAAGCTCAGGCACATGCCACTTACAACATGTCATGATTGGCCTAAAATTATGAAATATTATAGAAGGATTCACATGAACACATGCACCTGTCCTAGATGGTACATTCAACTCAATTAAATAAATTATATGCAGGTGTACAAAAATCTTTATTGGCTTTCCTTGATACAGCTTGTCAATTTGTTTCCCAGATATGAATTAACAAATGGTATAGTAAATGTCTTGCTTGAACATTTATTATATTTTTCTGAGATACGAAAGCTTACCATTTCAATAGATGGAAATTTCAATTAAATGAAAGGAAGTTGATTATAATCAAACAAGAAAATAAATTTTCATTTTTCAAATGTGTAATTTTCAAAAAAAATGTAGCAAATGGCATCCAGGCACTTCATCTCAAGTTTACAGGAGTTAAATAACAATAAGTGGGAAGGATAATTGTTATAAGGAGGCAAAGAGCCAAGGAACTATCATCTAAAAGGACAAGGGGAGCATATACATGGGAACACCACCACCTGCAAGATCCCTTCCAAGCCACTCACCGTCCTGACTTGAAACTATGTCTGTGTTCCTTCACTGTCACTATATCAAATTCCTAAAACTTCCTCCTTAACAGTTTTCCTATACCAAATGGACTGTAGCTGTTCAACGAAGCAACGCATCACCACCTTCCCAAGGACAAGTAAGAATGTCCAATATCTGTCCTTGGCAGCAACGGCCATATGCAACGACTGAATAAAAAGTCTGGTAATTTGAAAGCCGTCAAATAGTCAAACTGAATCCTTGATATCTGGGCATTAGAAGACTTATGTCTTTGGGTTTTGGAAATGTATTTCAAATTATTATAAGTTTTGCTTCTTAGGAAAACACCTAATGGTAGACACCAAATAAAAGACCTGCTACATAAAAACAAAGTTGAAATTTGGAACAAATTTCTGGCTTAATTTTAGATTTACAATATGAATGTCTAAAAATTCAAAAGGCATCAAAAAAAACTGAGGCTGCAGTTATAATGAAACTGCTAGCTTCTGTATGGTGCACTGGCAATTAAGGAACTTGTGTCTCCAACAATTTTGTGTAGAATTGCAGTGAGCCACTGGATATTTTCATTCCTGGAATAAATGCAGAGATCTCAGCCTCAGCTGGTTTATATTTAAAAAACAGGAGAACAAAGACAGGAGACATTTTTCTGATCCACCAATATTAAAAACCTAAAATGTCGATTAAATGTATCTTCACATTTCACTGGCGTTGTGATCCAAATATGTATTTGGGGTAGAACCAGAAAACATGCCCATACTTCCTCTGTGAAAATTTGATCTTCCAACTGTGCATTCTGTCCTGTGACTTTAGTTGTCTTCGACAGACAAAGTGCAAAGGCATCTCTCTCACCCTCATCCACATACAGCCAATCAATGGAGTCAATTGGATGCTGTTAAAACAACTTTTTTCTTTATTTTTGCATACAGGTGTTTGCTCCCGAGCAGAAGCCAATAGAGACACATAATGATCAGGGAGCTGAAGTAAAAAGGTGCATTGCAGCCTTTCAGTATAATGAACACTAGGACCTGATCAAGTTATTCACCAACTTTCATCCTGATGCACACTTGAAATTTATTTAACTAACTCAAACAAACACCCCACCACTCCACACAACCAAGATAAATTTATTTTAAATTTATAATCTCAACATATAGTGGAATGGAAGCACCGAGGTGGTGTTTAATTATATTATAAAATGTTACTGTTTTTGCACAAGTTCTGTAATTTGTAAGCAACTCCCGCCTTCAGAAAAATTACAAAATTCTTTCACATTCTTACAGAAGTAAAAAAAAAGTTCTCCAAGCCTAAAGAGCCCAAATTAATGCTCCCCCTCTAATCAGAATCCATTTGCAGATCAGAATGCGACACTTGTTTCTGCAGCAATCAAACCCAAAGCATACAAATATAGGAAAGGTGTTTTTGTGGTGCAGTGGTAGTGTTCTACCTCTCAGTCAGAAGGTTTGCAGGTTGAAGGCTCACTTGCTCCAGAGGTGTGTCATAATACATCTGGACAGTTTGATCAAAAATATCCACAAAAGAAGGGTAGGTAGACTTTGTATACCACATTAGGTCCACTTCCCCTATAGACTGCAACTACCCCTCGACACCTCTCGCAGGGTACCTTTTGATCCAAGGTCCTTAATTTATTCTTTCCAGTCAGCACAATCACACCATAGATGTAAAATGCTAGAAAAAAGTTCTTTACAGTGAGGGGTAGGATGGCAAGCAAGGGCATGGATGGGCTGTATGCTGTTTCTGCCTGATAAGTGCTGTGAAAGTGCTGAACCATTTTCATGATAAATCTTCATCTAGCTTGTGCACACTCCAACAGCTTGCCATTCAAGGGAAGGGGTAGAGACCATATGGGGCTGAGTCAGGAGGAGTAAGATTCCACATGAGTGGATACTGGCTAGGAGAGGGCTTGAGTTTTTTGAGATGCCCAGAGCAGCCTTCATCCGGATCCCACATAATATAGCTGTTTAAAGATAATTTTTGAAACTGTTTTCTGAATAGCCAATGAATTTCCGGTAATAGTTGGCACAGTTTTGACATCTGTGCTAGCCTTTGCTGCACAACTGGGTATATTTCATCTGAGTATTTTAACAAGGCTTTTGGCTCTGATAGGTAGGACCACTAGTTGTCCATTTCAGATCTAAAGATTACATGATGGCACAGGGATGGGCAAGTTTATTTAACAGCACATTTTAACTTGCCCTGTTTTCCAGCATAATTAGGGCAGCTGGTTGCTAAAAATTGCTCCCATTCTATTTTGGACCAGGTGGTATGTGGCTCATATGCTGACTGCTTGGGCTACCCTACAAATCTTAATTTCATGGTGGCAGGTGATGCTAGACAATTTCAGCCAAACACTGCACATCAATGTTGGATATTATATCTACACCACAAGGATGGGGACGATTAATTTGCAGACAGGAAATCATATTGTAAATGACTTCTTCATAAATTATACCTTTATAGATTACAAAATTCAGAATATTTCTTATCAAAATATCGCTGCATAAAAGTCAAATGACTTTTCTATTCAACTGTTACAAACCCACTAAAATGTGAAAGTTACTATCCAAAATGTAGAAAATTTTGCGTGGGTAAAAATGAGCATGCCCTCCCCCTCTTAAGCACAGAAAGCGAGAGTGAAATAGAACATCATAATCTAAGAAGTAGGAGGAGGAGTAGGAAATTTGGCTCCTCAAGCCTATCCTATTATTCTATAAGATTATGTCTGTTCTACCTAGACCTATTGGCTGTGATATTAGAAGCCTTGCAACAAACCCATATTCAACCAACCCCATCTATAATCACTAATTTTACAAATTTAAGATGTGTTGTGATTAGAATTTGACTTATTCGCATACTGTGAACAAGGAATTTGACCTAATTTAGAAAAAAAACAAACAAAAACAGAAATTGTTGGGAAAATTCAGCAGGTCTGGCAGCATCTGTGGAGAGAAAGCAGAGTTAATGTTTCAGGTCCTTCTTCAGAATGTTGTTAACAGAATGTTATGAAGTTCTTCAGAGATCAGAAGAAGAATCACTGGTCCCAAAATGGTAACTTTGCTTTCCTTCCTCCTGAATTTTTCCAACAATTTCTATTTTTGTTTCTGATTTCCAGCATCTGCGTTCTTTGGTTTTTTATTCTAGAAAGAACCATTGCCCATTAGCAACCATAACCTGCAGTCTTCCCTATGAAGACTGCAGCAGCAGTTCTGCACTCAAACACTAATGTAAATAACATTTTAAAATATTCTACATTTAAGACTTGCGCTAACAGCTCTTGGTAGATATTAACATATCTTCCAAAAGAAAAGGTGCAAAAATAGAAACTCAGCAGGTCTTTCTGTAGTCAAAATATGTGTTAAATATTCAGATGAAACAGTTTCTAATTTGATCACTTGGAGACTGACTCCTCTAAGTCAGTAGCAGCTGTGATTATATTATTTTGGATAATTCTACCTTCTGTCTTTTCACTATTTACGAAGTAATTAGTATTTTGCCCACCCACTCCCATTGACTCAAACCCGCCATCTGGGTTTTCACCGCATCTAAATGTGTTACTGTCTTCAGAGACGAGACAGCTCCCTACATGATCAATGTCACTGTTGTACTTTTCTTTTGTTGGTGTGGAGGGTGGGTGTTCCCATTCCATTCTGGTATAGTTCAGGAATGGAACAGTCAAACCATCTATACCAAGTTGGTTGTTGCTATTTTGAAAGGGTGTAGGTAGAGGTGTGAAGGAAATGGATTTACTCTCTAGATGTTGTGACAGGACTGGGGGACATTTTGAAGTCCTATGCAAACTGTATCGTTGATCATCATTATTTTCTGGATTTGGTGTAGCACACACAGCAGATCCTTTGTTTTGAAGAAAACTGTGCTGTACATTATAATCCCCCTGATCATCTAAGCATGCTTTGCTTATAGCAGATTTCTCTTCTTCTGTAGTTGTAACGTAAGAATAGTTGATTGCTCCATCTTGCAGCATACTCAGTCTCATTTCCAAGACATCAGCCTCTGAGCAAGGATCAGGGGAGTGATGGTACATTACGTAATGAAGTCCATCTCCTTCTTCATTTGCCATCGATGCCAGTGTTATACCAGTAGCACCATCATCACTTCTCTGCTTTTCATGCTCCTCTCCTAAGACATAAACAAAGGTTTACATGACATGAATGTAGAGAATACATGGCAAGTTTTGATGGAAACAAAGACAATTAAATAGTCATTAAACAGCCACTTGCTGTCACTGCAAAAGTTGACCACTGGTTATGAATGATGCTCATGGAGTTAGATGAAGATGGGTAGAAGGAAGATTGCATACAACGTCAACAGTCCAATAAATCTGTTTAAGTGCTTTCCATTATATTTAACAGTGAAATCCAGCTCAAGTCCTAATTCTTGAGTGAAGCAGTGAGTGGCGAGATTACGACACAGTGACAAAAACAGAAGTTGCTGGAAAAGCTCAGCAGGTCTGGTAGCATCTGTGAAGAAGAAATCAGAATTAACGTTTTACTTCCGACACAGAGAGTCAGAAGTCACACAATGCCAGGTTATAGTCCAATAGGTTTATTTTAAATCATAAGCTTTCAGAGCACTGCTCCTTTGTCAGGCAAACCCGACGATGGAGCAGCGCTCCGAAAGCTCGTTATTTCAAATCAACCTGTTGGACTGTAATCTGGTGTTCTGACTTAGTCCACCCCAGTCCGACCCTAGCACTTCCAACACACCAGCACACAGAGAATGTCATACATTTCAATTCAATGTCAGATGGAATTCAACTCAATATTTGGGTTTCGGTAGTGCCTGGGATCTACCATGAATATCTGACGGGTATTGATAAATATACACGAGTTGTTTTAAACTTGATAGTGAATAAAATCCATCTGCATCTTCAAAATGTTTGTAAATCAATGGCCCAGAACAAATTCTGAGTGACAGCTGAGTGCCTTCAGAGCTCCCTCCATTCTATGGGTTAAATTTGAAATTAATCCAGTTCTGCCAAACTTAGTTCTTTAGCTACCAGTCACAAGAACAATGAGTTGCATTTATATAACATCTTTAAAATAATAGAAAACTCCAATTTTGCAGGAGCAATTTCAAACAACATTTGATACCACACAGAATATAATGATCTTCACATTTATTGGCTTTTTTTTGGGTTCAAGGAGGGTTTTTATCTATTAAGTCTAGCAAGTACTCATGTGTACCTCGTCTCATGAACTATCATGCGTCTCTCACTCACTGATAGCTCAATTCTCCCACTTGCAATGGCCGAAAGTACTGCCTGTTTCAACTGAAATAACTCCACAGGGGCTTGTATCCTGTCACTGAGTCACCCTTTATTTACACGTGAAAAGTCCTTGACACTGATCCAGCTCGGAGCCAGCTTTCAGAGTGAACCTCAGACACTCCTGTTTTTATTGGTCAGCCAGGGCTCCCTGATTGGGACTGTTAATTTGGTCAAATCAGGGAACTCACATTCAATGAGGTGCACCTGACTGACCTCCTTACAGTTCACAGACTGGATGCCTGTCTAAAGGTCTTGCAGTAACAATGAAATGTGCCAGTGCACTCCAATAGGGCATCATTAAAGTGTGGAAGGTTATTGTAAGTGTTTGGAAAATGTGCCATGATGATGCAGACAGGCTGGCATGTGTCAGGTACCAATGTCTGTGGAAGTGGGGTGCATGTGCCCACTGCCCCTCTGCACGACCTGAGACACTAGTGCTGGGTGTTCAAGATGGAGGCATGGAGGAACAAGTGGTGAGCTGGAGCCAACAGGTACTTGTTCAGACTTTTGCATTGGAAATCCTTGGCAGATGAGAGAGTGGGAGCCGGCATATTAATACAGTGAGCTCAGCCAGTAATAAGATGGACAATCAGCAATAATCCCTGTTTACAGGTTTCTCACCACTGACTAGCGAAAATCCCAGACAACATCAAAACAGTCAGAAAATGTAACATTTCGGACTTGACATCAAGAAAGGCATCACAGGACATTGCTGGGAAGACTCTGACAATAAAGATAGATAACCAACAGTTTGGTCAAAAAAAAAACGTAGGTTTTAATGAATGTGTCAAAAGGAGGAAGAAGAGGTGAAAGGGTATACAGAAGAAATTACAGTTTCTAGGGCCTTAGCAGCAGAAGGCAAGGTATCAATGATGTAGTGTCAGGTGGGTGATTTATATGTTTTAATATCATTTAATTTATAGTTTGGATTTTGAACTAGTGGTTTTAGCCTGCGTGTGTGAGATAGTTTAATGATTAACTTGTCAGTAGTTCTGGAGCCTTTTTTTAAAACCAGTATGACAGATATAGTTCTTGGAGAGCTAATGGGAATTTGTTTGAATTGGGAGAGTTTTCAGAGCATTAGCCTGTTTTCTGTTAGAAAGACTGGGCACTTTTTTGCTAGGGGGAAACACCCAGAGCTTGGAAAGTTTTTGGTTTTAGATTGAAGCCATCCTGGTTGAAGTTGGATATATGAAACTGCTCTGCTGGAGCAAGGAGTGATTTCAGAAAAGTTAGGAAATAGGTTGCCTCAGTTTAAAGTTTCAGTTTGATAATTCCAAACCAGAAATGATTGGCTGGAACCTGAATGGGTTATTTGAACTGGAGATGGTCTAAGCTCAGTTGTGTGAAAATCAAGGAAGATGCTGTCAAGTTGTGTTATATGCAAGGAGCTGTTTTATTCAATTTTAAACTCTGTAATAAACTCTGTTTTATTGTTCAATCTGCAGATCTGCAGCATTGCATGCTTGTGTTCCAGTCAAAGATTGCTTCATTAAATTAAAAAAATATATATTAAGTCATATTTCAATCTGGAATCAGAATTATTCAGTAATAACATCAACTGGGATCATAATGGTAGATTGATTAAAATTGTGGATGTACAAGACAGGTTGAGGTACATCAGGTTGTCATCTGGAAGAGGTTACAGAAGTGATAAACAAGACCATAGAGAGACTTAAAACAAGATTGAGAATTTTAAGCTCAAGATATTTCTTAATCAGGATGTCAATGTATATTAGTGAGCACTGATGGGTAGACCGGCTTCGCGCACATTAGGATATCTGTCAAACATTTTCATGGCAACACTTCTCCAAATCAGAATCCACTTACCAATTAATTAACCAGCACTTTTTCCGCATACATATAAAATATTCCCATTTACATTGGTAACCCTGCAAATGTCTTGAGGAGTACAAGATAAAAAAGCTTAAACTAAATGTCTTTATTTCGGCAGTATTCAAATTCTGTACTATCAAGAAAGTATAATCAAAAGAAAGAAGGGTCCCGACCCAAAATGTCAACTTTCCTGCTCTTCTGATGCTGCCTGGCCTGCTGTGTTCTTCCAGCACCACACTGTGTTGACTCTGACACCAGCATCTGCAGTTTTTGCTATCTCTGAAAGAATAGGAATGGACCATTTGGGTGTTCAAACCTGCTTCAACAGTCATTAAGATCACTGCTGGATCTTCATTTAAACTTCAACTTCCTGTCCTGTTCATACATCCCCTCATTAATTTGCACCTGAAAAATCTCTCTTTTGTCCTGAATATACCCGATGGCTGAGCATCTACAACTCTGAGGTACAGAATTCCAAAACAATCACAAACTTTTGAATAAAAACAAAGTCAGGCTTGCATCGATATACTGCTTTGCAAGTGTATTCGATGTCTCAAAGCATTCCACAAAAAAAATTAAAGAAATTTCTCCTTATCTCAATCTTCAATGGTTGACCCCATATCATCTTCCAATTTTCTAAACCCTATGGAATCTAGGCCCAGTCTACTCGACCTCTCCTGACAGGACAATTCTCTCACCCCAAAAACCAGTGACATGAACTTCACTGGACTCCTTCTATGGTGCTTACGTCCTTCTTAGGCAGAGCCAAAATACACCCTACTCCAGCTCCTGGCCTTACCACAGCTTGCATAATTGTAGAAAGGCTTCTTGATATGCCAATCCCAGAAAGCTAATATAACATTTGCCTTCCTAATTGCCTGCAGTACTGAATGTACAGATACATCCAGTTCCATCTAAATTCAAACATTTTCTTGTCTCTCACCATTCAAAACAATTTTTTTTTTAATATTACCTCACAGAGTAGATGACGTCACACGTCATTAACATGGATGGGTAGGTATAATACAATGTATTGCCCAATTCACTTAACCTGTTTATAGCCCTTAGCCTCTTTACCACTTATTTTTCTGCTGAACTTTGCATTGTTACCAAAATCAGATACAATACACACTGTTCCTTATCTAATTCATTAATATAGTTTATGGTTATCTGACACCATTCTGGCTGTTTTCTGTCCATTGAATTCACAATTCATGCTATTTATCCCAATTCAATTAATCCTAATTTTATGTAATAACCTGGTGGGCAACTCACCAAATAGGTTTTGAAAATCCAAGTAAATACATTCACTGATTGTTTCTTAATCATCCCTTTACTAGTTAATCTTCCTCTTGTGTTACTTCTATATAGTCAACATCCGTGGAAGAATACAACCTGACAAGGGAATTCTCCTCAGCCTTGAATGGGGTGCAACTGAAACAGAGAATGAGGAAATTTTCATCTAAATGATCCTTCCATCCACATTTGCATTCACTCAAACCCAAGAGTTAGGGCTCAGGTCCGCCAGTTGATTTTCCTTCCATTGATTTCATTGACTGTCTCTCCCTTGCATTCATGCCGACAGTGGTGGTAGGCACCAGGTGGAACAGGATCAGACTCATGCAGGATTTTAGGAATCTTGCTTCTTAAGGAATCTATGCCATCATCGCACACAGTAAACACTCATTTTGGGAAATCATTTTGGTAAACAAAATTCCCACCCTCCAGAATTCAGCCCTAAGAGATGAATCATGATAATGGCATTGAGCAGTTCAAGCGCTCTTGCCAATGAATATTAATGGTGTTAGGCATAGCTCAGTTAGTAGCACTCTAACCTCTACATGAACACTGTGGTTCCAGGATTTGCAGTCAAAGCTGACGCTGAGTAGTGCGCTGTCCGAATTAAACCCATGTTGTTGCTAACACTCTGCATCCCAAACCAGTCATCCAGCTAACTGACCCCCTAATAATTAATAATTACATATTACTGACTTGGATGCACTTTCATGTGTTT